CCAGCTCTGGCCAAAAACTTCTAAAAAAAAAAATCCTGCAAGACAGAATATTTACTCATAGTACACCATAAGGCACAGGCTCTTCAATAAACAATCTTTATTTTACTCATTTATTTTTAAGACAGAGTCTCACTCTGTGCCTTGGGTGCCCTGGCATCATAGTTCACAGCAACCTCAAACTCCTGGGTTCAAGTGATTCTCCTGCCTCAGCCTCTTGAGTAGCTGGGACTACCGGTACCTGCCACAATGCTAGGCTTGTTTTTCTATTTTTAGTAGAGGTGGAGTCTTGATATTGCTCAGAATGGTCTTAAAGTCCTGAGCTCAAGCCACCTACCTGCCATTACAGATGGGAGCTACTGTGCTGGCTGTAGTAAAGAATCTTAACATTCTCATGAAAATACAATTGTATTTAATTAAAAATTTAACATAATCTAGAGTGTCACAAAGACGTAGGAGAAAGGTGGCAGAGGCTGTGATGTAAAAGACAGACCTTCATCAGGTGTAATGAGTTCTGGAGAGGAACCCGGACACAGAGAGGGAAAGGGCTTACTACAGCACCTGAGGACCCCGCCGCAGGGAAGCATCGGTCTACTGAAGAGCAGCTGTCTCTGAGGCCTGAGCCTTTGAGCAAAATGAAATTTTATGGGGTCAAACGTGTCATAGTTTATAGCTTCTGAGATTCGTATTTGCTAAAAAATGCCTTCTCTGAAATGGTGACCAAAATAGTCTCATTTTTTGTAATCATTCCATAATCTACTTTTATTTTTTAATGTTATCTTTAAATCTACTTATAGTTTAATTTTGTATGGGTTGGTGCTGGTTTTAAAAAAATTGTATCTGTTTATAACATATCTAATTTCACAGATGTATTTATTTTTAATGTCATTAATTTAAATAAACTTAGGTAGAGGGCTCACACATTCTTGTGCTAGTTTCAAAATCTTAATTCCATTATGTTTTAATAAGGAAAATAAATAATACTCAGTGTTTCATAGTTTAGACACAATTTTATTTGTCTTAAACATCACAAATGGTCACTGTCGTCCCCAAATAGAATTCAGACAAATCAATACACGGATTTTGTAAACTGGCTCTTCGACATTTTGTCGTTTTCATAAACTTTAAAAAGAAACATAAAGGAACTTTCATGTGAGAGGAATTAGTAATCATTTCTAAATTAAAAACTGAATTATAGTCCTCAGCAGACTACTACACAAATGCCTCCTGTGGATCAAGCACCAGGAGAATAACACACAGAAACCGGAGTTATTGATACTCGCTCTAGACCTCAGCCGGTATTTGAGACAGGGGCATTTGACAGTGGCAATGCTGCTGTTATTGACATCCAAGCACAACAGGAGTACCCGAAGCCATCCTAACCCAGTGAAGCTTGGCAGCAGAGACTGCACATTGCTATCAGGAGAACATTTGCGCTTTTCAATTAAAAATTCCTGTTTTTAAATGCTACCTAACACTTTAAAAAAATGCTCTTATCAAAATCTCTAGAAAGAGAAGCACCCAGTTACCACTACCAGTTAGCAGTAGTCAAGACGTTCGTTGACCTGTCTCCCAGTCACTAAATATTTACAGTAACTTTTGCTACTTCTCATGATGTTGAGATAAAGCCCAAGTTTATAATGTGAATGACAGTTACTGGAGTCCCCAGATTTGTTTCCACTTCCCCTTACGTGAAATAAAAGTACGGTCAGTCTTACATTTCCAATAGTTATCTCACCGACTATTACTAACATCTGTGCAATATCCAGGCTCCACAGGGGCTGTGCTGTGTGCTCCTGCGTGCGTATATTGTAGCCTCTAAGCGAACATTTCACAAATTATTTTTCTAAATAATAAGTCACAGGATGGAAATATTAACCCTTTTACATGATCGCAGGCCTTGCCATTAAAATAAAGTATCCAAATACTTAATTCCCAACAGTTCAATTAAAACAGTCACTTCTTAAAGTCCACATTTAAGATGAATTTAGTCCAAAATATATTCCATGTCTAAAGAAATTAGGTTAATTAAGTTCATATGTTAGAGAGCTGCATTCCCATTCAACCATAATATTCTCTGAGTTATTGTCCGTCCATTCAGAAAGAATAAATAACAAATGCAAAAACAAGCTAAAGGGAACTCATTTAACCTGCTTTTATACAGCCCAATGGATAACATGTCTCAGAGGATGGTAATGTGTTAATTCACAAAATCACAATGTATAGACGAGAATACTGGAATATTATATAACTCTCTGTTCTCCTATCATAGTCTTTTTTATTTTTCCCTTCTTAATTTTAAGTTATGAGGGTCCACTAGGTTATCTGTTGCCACAAACAACTGCCCAACATCATTGAACAAAATTTTATTTGTTTTATTTTAACAGTCTAACTGTAGCAACTATTAAAAGTAATAGAATCACAATTTCTTCTGATAAATCTTTATGGAAAATATTCTCAAACCGAGGCCTCATTATCTTTCCTCCTGGAGATAGATTGATATTCATTTGTGGTAAGCAGAATTGGAAAGCATGGCCAATTTTAAATATTACAGAAATACAGACCAAATTAAATGAACTCGGTTTTTAAAAGATTGGTGAATCTGTGGTCACTGCAGCACATTCGTACTCCTGTGTCTCACATCTTTATTTTGCTTATCCTTTTAAACCTCATAAATTAGTCATGAAACAACGTTGAAACATGAAACAACACTAGATTATCGCTGGACACTCATAATTGTAACAGGTATTGTTATCTCCATTTTGTGGGTAAGAAGAAAGATAAAAATACTAAATGGTTTGCTTAAATGTCTTATGGAGAGAAGACAGTTTCCAAGCCCTCTCTTCTACAATCCTGGCAGAGTAATAAGATAGAAGTCTTTTCTAATCTTCATATATGCTTGTGACACACAAGCGAAACTTGTGCTCGGTGAAGTCAGTTTCTCAGCTGTGAAATGGCGATAGCGGTTTCTCCCTCCTAACCCAGGAGGGATAGTACCAGTCCCACGGGGGATATGAAATCCGTTGTTAACTCTGTAGTGCTTCTGCGGGCCTTCCTTATACCGCTAGATTCTGCTATGTGTGTTCTTCTTTCATATTTTTCCCTAATAAATTACATTCTTTTTCCTGGAGGACCATTTTTCATTTCCAATTCTCTTCTGGCAGAAAATAATTTAGAACTATTGATTTGTTGTTTCTCTGTTTCTTTATCTGGGTCATCAGTGTGGCCATCGAATAGCTCACTTAGAAAAATCTCCTCCCAGCACACTTGTTGCCAGAGATTGTGCCTCACCCAACAATTACGGTTCAAGTTGGACTCAGTATTATTTTCTCCCAATAAAACGCACTCAGCTACGAGACATGTTTCTCTTTTGAACAGTTCTTTAGAAGTCCAGGAAAGAATATTATTATATTCAGTGTAAAAATTGTTTTCCTATTTAAACTTTGCTATGTCATTATTGTTGAAAAGAATTATACAGATATGGTAGAGTTTGCTTTTAAAAAAAGTCTCTTTACTATTTTCTTTGGTCAATACAGTGAATATAAATGTGTTGATCACACCTTTAAAAATTATTCTCTTCTAAACAGCAGAACTGTCCTCAACGAGAACAGAAATTTTAGAATGCTCCTGCACTAGTAATGTCCAGAAAGGAATGTGAAATTTAGCCTTCATGGAAGATATAATGGAAACAAGATACTTGGAGATGATTTCAGAAAATAGTCATAACTTTACTGCTGTATATAATGAGAAGAAAAGTGTTATGGTTCTCTAGAAACAGATGATGTTAGCAAGATAAACACACACACTGAAATCAGACGTAACCATTCCTATGACCTCCACTCCACTTGGTATGATATACCAAAGTTCATTCAGTGTGAGGAAAGTCACATCTTTCACTAAGGCAAGAATCTCATTTATAACACCATTCAGAGACTCGATTTTTATTTCATGGGATAGGATACAGGCTGAGTTACTCCTGGCCTTTGCATTGTGAATGAAAATATGCACAGTAGATATGTTAGTTTTCACTCATCTTTAAAATCTGTGTACCAGGTCATCTTGGGATAGGAAGACAAGATAGCATTTTAACTGTATTTGAAATACAGTTGATTGAAAATCTATGAATATTTCCATTCTTCCATGTATTTTTATTAACCCCTGTAAGAACTATATAATAAGATTGACATCATTGGAGGCAGGAGAGTAAACAAAAGCAAACTTTTCCATGTATATTGCTTCAATTTTTACATTGACCTCTGGCATTCTGCAATAAAATATTAAGTAAACTTTCTCAGTTGCTATATTTTTTTATTCACGTTGATATAGTTCTAAATATATATCTTTGGAAGTTAATAAAATGATCAATACAAAGTTGTATTTTAAGAACAATATTGGGTGGGTCTTCAATGTGATTATGAGTATTAATTCTAAGTAAGTGAAAGAAAATATTTAGATTCTGCTTTTTCTTTATTCTGGGAATTTTCTGACATATATAGTACTAACCATTTTCTTAAAATGGCAAATGAGAACATTCAAAGACAAAAGTTCAGCTGTCGAGTTTACTAGTTAATATCCAGGTTTTTATATTACAATGTTGTGTACTGGCAATTTTAAGTCTAGTTACATGGACAGATGTCAACTGTGGGATGTCATGATTAAAGCATAAAATGAAGTTTTGTAGCAATGCAAATAATTTTTTGAGATGTTTTAATAAAAGATAAGAAAAGCAACCTACTTTTTGAAGATTTAAGTAGGTGAAATTGAGGGCAAGCCGTACTACAAATTTAAAATTTTCTGTGAAGTATTTTCAATATTTCTTTAAAGAGATTATTTTCCTTCAGATCACCAATTCAGGTATTAAGTGTCTCCACCTTTCTTTTATCAATATTTCCAGTTAACAAAAACAATATTACTGATATTTAAGAAAATGTGATAGAAGGCAAGGATATCAAGATTTACTTACCTGAGACCCCGTCTTGAATTCAACATAATTTATGAGATAATTACTGGCTTTCTAAGTGCCTGAGTTGAAGCTCCAAATTTTCATTTGCTTCTTTCTGTTCATCCAGAGATCTCTGGAGCTTACGGATCTGATTCAGGGAATCATCAATCTGAAGACAAAGCAGAAAAGGTTCAGGTTCAAGAGATCTACTGAACGCCATGGTGATGATGAATAATAACCCACTGTTTATTTGAAGATTGCTGAGAGAGATTTTATATGTTCTCAACATAAAATATAAGAGTGTGAGGCAATGAACATATTAAATAATTCGATTTAGACATTCCACAATGTATAAATATATAAAACATCATGGTAGATGCCATATATATATACATAGAGAATTTTACTTAATTTAAAAAGATACAAATTAAATAAACAAACATGAGAACCCATGATATATTTGACACTGTTTGCCGTCTCCCTCTCTCTAAAAAGTGTCCTCAATGAAAAAAAAAAAAACTAAAATCAATTAATTCTTTCAAAAACAAGGTGTATTATTTGTATGACAAATATTTACCAATAGTTCATGTGTGATGTTATTTGTATAAGTTAATGAATATATGGAAGTATTCATTTATTTTCAATAATATAATGAATGCACACATTTGACATAAAGTAAACATCAAAATGAATACTAGTATATCTGTGGCTCTGAGAGCGGAGGGAGGACATTAAATGCTTCTAAAATAAATGTAAGATTTTAAACATAATCTGATTTATCATCAGAGGTCACCAAGATTTTGGTGAAGAAAAGTAGACACAGGTAAACCTGTTGCCAGAATGATGTTGAGGCCCCAGTGAGAGACGTTGGCAGTTTTAAATATGGACATGTGGATATGCGTAAGGCAGAGTGGCAGGCTGGGGAAATACTGTTACCAAGTTGTAATAATTATTAATATGAGTGTAGCTTTGGAGTATCAAAACAAGGCTGATCTGGTTTTTTTAGAAACCTAAACTTAGGCCTTAAATTTTGTTTCCTTCCAATTTATTTATCTGCTAGTATCGTTTGGGGAAAATTCACCCCGTGTGTAGTGTGTTTATGTGAATAAATAAGTGGTTGCGTTTCTCTGTAGCTTGCAATTTAGAACACTCATACTACTAGCCACTATGGCATCTACACAAAATACCTGATTTCCTAACAGTCCGTGAGGTAATTACAAGTAATACACTCACGCCTTTGGAAACTAGTTAGACGTCATCTACTTAGGGAACAATTTTTTTTTTTTTTTTTTTGAGACAGTGTCTCAATATGTCGCTCTCAACAGAGTGCTGTGGCTTCACAGCTCACAGCAACCTCAAACTCCTGGGCTCAAATGATTCTCTCTTTTTTTTTTGATTAAATCATAGCTGTATACATTAATGCAATCATGGGGTACAATGTGCTTAGGGGACTATTTCTAAAGAAATTTTAATAACATAGCATTCAGACTTAAAAGACATTTATACTAATTAAAACCTGTATTTTAATACTATAGAATTGATCAAACCTTAGAGTCCAGTTTAACTCTGAATTCTGATATTCTTTCTAACCTTTACATGATTTATATTGTTTTGATATATTTTATCAATATATATTTTATATATTTATATATATATTTTGATAATGCTGTATGCAACCACCTATTTATTCACATAAAACACACTACACACGTATAACATACAAATATAATTATATATAATGATAATATATATACATTATATATTATTATTTTATATGCACACCTGTAAAAACTTAATTATCCCCCTGTTTGGGCACCAGATTCCACTCACTTTCCCCCACTCTGGGACACCCACTGCCCCACCAATACTCACTGTTCTGTCATATTTCACCTGGTTTCTTTTTCTATTTTATTATTCCTATCAAGGATTTGTATGGACTGTTTCTTCTGCTAGGAATCCTTCTGCCACAGAGATCTGAATGATTCACTTTAACTTCTTCTATGAATTTACTCAAAGCTCAGGCCGGACACCACATCTAATATGGCTACTTGTCTTCAATGCACGAATTCTGATATTTTCTTTCTAACATTTACATGATTTATATTATTATAAATTATATTATATTAACATTCTCTGTCTCTCTCCTCTGGAATGCAGATTCTATGTAGCTAGGGTATTCATTTTATTCATGTATGTATTTCAAGTGCCCAGAATAGTGTTTGGTTATTTAAGAAGAATAAAATCATGCTGGATAGGATAACACAACAGATGCCCTACCACTATTAAGGAGGCCATGATTTGAAAAATTCTATATAAATAGCATCCTAAACCTCTGCATATGCCAGATGAATCCAATTCAATATTTACTGGGAGTACAGAATAATTGCTTTGTTCCTGTTGCTACTCTAGTAAGGCCCCAGGCAGTCTTCCCGAATCTGGGTAGATTCCCAAAAATTTATGACACAAGAAAAACACATTCAAACTGCATCTTAACAAATAGACAATATGATAAAATCCTAGCTATAGTCTAAATCTTGGCAATAGGGGAATAATGATTTTACCTAAGAAAGTACTGTGGTTATTAGAATGTTTTAATTTCTATAATTCAAAAGAAAAGAAAATATAACAAAACAAAGTCTAGAAAAAATATCCTGATAGATGCTGCAGACTCCAGGCCATAAATCCCCTTTTTATTAATATTAAGAAATCTTTATCTAACTCTCAATGGAAACAGTTGATAATCTGTTTTGATACATCATTCCCTTAGCAATAGAATAGGACCAATTTTTGTCATAGAACTTGAAGTGACAAGTTGAGCATCAGGGATTCTGGCAAATGCTTTTAGCCAATCTGCTCCCATTCTGCTCCAAGGCACCCACAGTGGGGTCTCTTTATAATCTGTCCAGTTTAGAATTTGTTTATGGTAATGAGGAATGATGGCAACATTTTAGCTAAGTCTCCAATTCACAAATTCTCTAAAACTAGCTCGTGTAACACGGAATCTTTGTAAGGAATAAGCAGGTATGGATATTTGCCATCTTCAAGTAATTAGTAGGGAGAAAATTTTGCAGATATTTATAATTGGAATTTGAATATTCTGAGACACTTTATTAACCATATCACAGTGAGCTCTTCATCTGGAAAAACAATCAGCAAAATCAATTGAAAAAACTTCCTAAAATGCCTTGGTAATCTCAGGTGGAAAGTGGTTGCCTTTTGGGAAATTTCAGACTACAGCTATTTTACCTGATACTATAAATTCTTCAATGTCATTATCAACTTCAGGTCCTTCAATATAACATCTTTTTACAACCCATATGGAAATTATTAGATAAGTTAAATTTAGTGAGTTCAATAAGTTGTTGTGTCACGTGGTCTTGTAAAGCCATGATGATGGGCTTGACTTGCCAGAATTATATATCTAGTTTAATTATTGACCTTCTTTTGTAAATACATGTACCATTGAATTTTATAGGAATTTCAAGGTTTTATAGAACTGGCAGATAAATATCCACCAAAGACCTTTCATTTAAAATAAATGGCATCATTGTCTACTGGATAACGCTTAAAATGCTTAAGAAATATCAAACAAGCTAGCATTGGATAAATGCATTGCTGAAATTATTTCTTGACCTTTGATGTCTAGAAATTATAACTTTTCTAATAAGCCATGCCGACAATGCAAATGTTGTAGATACATGTATGGGGTTAATGAAACTAACACAAAGGTATCTCAGCTGAATCACTCAATCACTGAATCAAATTCATTTTAGCAGAGGGTACAATGTTTGCTTATAAGTGAATTGGCATCATTGAGTAATTCCATATGAATGGCAAAGATTCGGATTTGAGAGACATCCATCTTAAGGATACTGCATTTTTGGAAGCAGTTTTGAAGATGGCTTTTCTCTAATTGGCCCATTACCGTGATTGGGTTGAAAAAAAACTATACGTATTTTCAATGTTTTGAAACATTGACAAAAAAATCAGAGTAACTTTCCAAGGTGCTGTGTTTTTGTGCCAGTATTCTTCACTATCTGAGAACACATGTGGGTATAAAAACAATTTTACAAAAGATTAAAGTTGGAAAACTCACATTGGCTGATTTAAATACTTACTGAAAGTCTATGGTAATCAAGACTTTTATTCACATAAGGAAAGACATATAGATCAATTAAATATTGTGTTCAAAGTTCAAAAAGAAACTCTTCTATTTCTGGTCAATTGCTTTTGGCATGGGTGTCAAGGCATTTCAATGAGGTAATAATAATCTTTTTTTTTTTTTTTTTTGCAGTTTTTGGCCAAGGCTGGGTTTGAACCCACCACCACCTCTGGTATATGGGGCCAGCACCCTATTCCTTTGAGCCACAGGTGCCACCCACGATAATAATCTTTTAAACAAATAGTTCTGGAACTTCGTTATGCATAAACAAAAAAGTGAAAGAAAAAAATGAAGTTGAACCTCTACCACCCACCATTCATTAACCTTAACTCACACTAGATCATTAACCTAAATGTAAGACCTAAAACTTAAACCTCTTAGGAGAAAACACAGGTGTAAATCTTCATGACACTGGATTGGGCAACATACACAGGCCAAAAACACAAGTGACAAACAAGCAAAAAAAAGAAAACAATTTGGGCTTATTCAGAAATAAAAAAAAAGTTTTATACTTCAAAGAAAGACTACTATCAAGAAAGTACAAACACAGCCCAGAGAATAAGAGTAATGAGAGAAAATATTTGCAAATCATGTGTCTGAGAGGGAATTGCACACAGAATAAATAAAAAAAAAACACAACTAAATTATCACAAAACAAAACAACTGAAGAATGAGCAGAGGTATTTTTCTAAGGAAGATACACAAATGGCCAAATAGCACATATAACTATGCATGGCATTCCTAATCATTAAGAAAATCAAATCAAAACCACAATGAGACACCACTCCAAACCAAGAGAAGGACTACAGTGCAAAAGGTGGACGCTAGTAAGCATGGTTAGGAACATGGAGAAATTGGAACCTTCAAAAGCTGCTTGTGAAAATGCAAAATAATGCAGCCGCTCTCAACACGAGTTCAGCAGTTCCTGAAAAGTCAAACATTCATGGAGTCACCATATCATCTCCGAGGGGAATAAAAACATACAGCTACACAATATAAGGACAAAT